TTTTTTTTTTCATCGGCATAAACTGTTTTCTTCAGAGTACTGCAGTGAAGACATACATTAAGGTGCCAATAGACAATTTCTCCCATACCAAGGCAAGACATGACAGTGCAGAGCAATTAATTACCTGGTAGTGAAGGCGGAGGAGAGTGGGTTTGAGTTACTATTGTTGGTGGGACTGTGCTTGTAACTGTCGGAGTGGATGAGGATACGCCAGGAACAGTCGGAGTAGTTCCCTGGGTGCTGCTGCTGAAGGGTGTCGTGGTGGCAGTACTGGTTAGAGACTCTGATGGAGTTGGCGTGGGAGCAGCGGTTGATACTGGGAAACATCAACAAGAAGAATAATTATGAACAACAGGGACAGAAACAACAGGTTAAAGATGCAAACATATGTATGAGTGGGACACAACAGGAGTTAACTGCCACAAATTCACAGCTGGCTCAGCCCAGTTTTTCTGCAGCAAAGGCCTGTATTATTTGCCTTTCCTTCCCAGTTCCAGAAAGCAGACTAGGGCCAAATCTGAACAGATATGGTTAAGACACACTCTTTTCTACTGAAGGGGTTTGTTACATTGCCTTGCAGGGATTCTCACTAAATGAAAAATCCCCCACCAGTGGATAAGATGGAGAAGAAAAGCCTTATGGTTCTTCCCATCTCAGCCCTATCACTCATAACACCTTGCTGTCTCAGAGAGTAAGAACTGGGAGAGGAAGCTGTGGTCAAGGAATGAAATACGTACAGGGATACGTTTTTATCTAAAGTTTATGTCACCTCTCCATACTGCAATGGAAGCCTGAGGGAGAGGTTCACAGCAAGTGGCTTTTAGAAGGGTGAAACCATTCCACAAAGGCTGTAAGGGAATCCTTTCTTCCTAGATCTACATCCACAGGCAAGTATCAGAACTGACAGAGAGAAAGTGGAATGAAGAAATTCTGCACAGTTCTGCCAGACAATACCTAAAATGATGATATACCAAATCAAGGCCTACTCCAATTTCACACTTAGTCTTTCTGAGAATGTTCTCTCCAGGAAAAGGACAGAGCTCAAAATCAGCAAAGTGCTTGCTAAATATCTGCTTTAAGTAGCTGACAGTCTGTTATTTATCTTACGGCAAGGTAAGGAAAGAGAAAATCGGTCTGCTAAATACCTGTGGAGGCTGAAGTTACTGGTGTGGTTACTGAAGATGTGGGTTGGCTTGTGGTAGTTGCAGTGGGTGTTGGTGTGGTGGTAATTGTCGTTGACTGCCGGGTTGTAGTAGTGGGCACAGTTGTTCCAGTGGTGACTGAAGATGCAGTTGGTGTTGAACTCGGTGTACTTGCAGTCCCACAAGGAATTTCATGCCATTCACAACAGTTCACCCTGATTTCATAATTATAGCAAAGATGCCATATACTTGCATCTTGCTCCTCATTTTTACAGATGAGTCCATACGTAACATTACATTCCACTTTTTGCCCAAGTTCCTCTAAGGTTTTATCAGGACTGTCTTTAGCCCTGCATTCAATATTTTCAGGAGCTGTACATATTTTGTTTCCATGTTCTTTTCTTATTTCTTCATAGGTTTCATAGTCACCACCATCTTCTTCAGGGTTACTAACATCAAACCACTCAGACCAATCACAGATTAATCCAAGGCATGGAGCTGCAAAAAAAGACGTAGATTCAGTGGCAGAGCTCACAGAAGACATTCTGAAAAGGTTAATTTTGTATTCAGATCCATTAGTGACCGAAATAATGCATTTCAATTTGCCATTTTTGCAAGAGAAAAGAATTCTAAAATCGGTTAAATACGATCAGTTTCTTCAACAAGAAGCTTTGTATCAAAACAGAATCACCAATCTGAAGCCTCTTTATACATCTCAATTTTTTGCAATTTCAGGTTTTCAAAGTATTTTTTTGGTTTATTTAGAAAATGTTTTTCAGTAGTGGCCACCTTTAATTTACTCATCATTTGACATCTTATGGTCAACTAGTTTTTATATTTAAAACTTACTTGTAGTTACTGGAGGACTTGTGGTAACTGAAATAGAAAAGAAAAAAAATTACTGCATCATCTGCAAGTTTCAGAAAAACATATAATGGTAGTTTTAAACATCCTAATTAGAATTTTTCTGTGACTGCTGAGACAATTTCTATTATCCCCACAGAATACTCAAGAGATAGAATCCTATGCATTTATAGTCACAATTTCTTCCATGCGGGGTAAATAAACTCAGGGCATTAAAATCTTCCTCAGAGAAACGCAACAAAATTATTTGCAAATATCACTCAATCTTTGTCAACTATAATAACTCTGCACACTTGTACATTCAATCTTTAAAGTATTTTCCTTAAGTAAAGTTATTTTAAAATCTGCATCTCTCTTGAAAACTTACCTATGGTGGTAATAGTACTTGTACCAGGAGAGGTTGTAATGGTTGAAGGTGAGGTAGTGAATGGACAAGGATAAGAAACTCCAGGAATTACAGATCCATTTTCTGCACAAACATATATTGTGCATATGTCGCCATCCTTTATTGTTGCAACAGTTTCTCCCACATCATAACTTGTTCCATTGATAACACAAGGACATCCTGCAAGAAAGAGTTCAGCATGCATGTTCTCTCTCTACCATGACTATTTGGAGAAGACAAAAAAAGCAAAACAGAAGTAGAAGACAAAGGAAAAAAAAAAAAAACCAACTGGAGGTTTTGCCAAGGATACAAATATTTAAATGTACCATGCATGCTCCTTTGAGTGCTATACTTGGAGCTTACATCTAGTGTCACATTAATTTGTCTTGTAAACTCTTGTAGTGAAATCCTCAAGTTTGGATGTGAGACATAGGAAGAAGAAATATAGTGTGTGATTGAAAGACTGAACAAGAAGTACTAGCATCAGGGTTCAACAAAATTGCTGACAAAATTTCTTTTCCAGAAAGCCTTTGTAGAGATAGATACAGTGGTTCCATGGTTTCTCCACAATCTGCCCCCCTCCACTTTCTTAATTAAAAAAAACTAAAAACATTATTTACCTGGAATTGGTGAACATTCAATGGATCCTGAGGGGCGACAGATACTAAAAGCAAAAATTTCAAAAGTTAAAATGTTATATATTAATGTTTAATGGCTAGCAGAGCCAAGATCACAGAAATGTAAAATTTTGTCACTTGATCTTCATTTATACTACTGGATATGTTTCTGATTGTAACGGCTTCTAATATTGCCTATCATTACCTCATTCAAACTAAGTCACCATTTGTATTCCTTAAGTGCAACATCTTAAACTATCATGAGCTGTTTTGTATTGCAAGATGCAATATCACAGTAATAACAGCTGCTCTTACGAGTAGTTGTGTTTTATTTATGTATTTATTTTTGTCTCTGAGCACGATGTGGATTCATAGATGTCAATTCCACCGTTAGTAAGGTTCTGGAAATGAACAATTAGGAGTCAATTACCTCCTTCAAGGATAATACAGATTATTTCAGACCACTGTGACTTCAAAATCTTTGTCTTAAATGAGAATACAGGGCAGAGAAGCCCCCCTCTTTCCAAAAAGTCACAAGAATCAAAAGACTGTTCCAGAAACACAGTTAGGCTTTCTGCCATTGCATCATTTATGACACTTTCATGAGTATATTTAATGATTCTACTAACAAACCTATCAGAAAGACATCTTGAAATCATCTTGATCATCTTGAAATATGGATTATTATGGATCTGTAAAGCTATAGATGAAAAATTTTGAACTTGTATGTAGTGGAAGTAGAACTTCCATAGATTGTCTCATCTAGAATATATGTTATTGCTCCTCTGATTTGTATACATATACATATTGTATAATATAGAATATAGAATATATTATATTCTATAAAATATATTTGTATAGATTGTATAGAATATATAAGTTGCATCTCTACTTACTAAAAAACTTGCTTGAGGCTCAATAAAGTAAATGAGGGGCTCAGCATTCACAAATTATTTCCTGAATTATTTCAAATGTTTTTGCATTTTTACATACCATTTTGTACAGTTCTCTTCTGTTGGTATTTCTCCACCAATGATAACAGGATTACCGTTGTGGTAACACCAGCATTCATCTGCAGCCACACATTCTTTTGTCTCTTCATTATAAATGGGCTTTTCATGAGGGCATCTGGGATAGCAACCTGTTGATGGCAAGTAGCACAGAATACAGAGTGAAGAAAAGTATGATGAGTTAACTAAATAGCAGGGTATCCTCTGAAAGTAAACGATTCTCACTGAGCCAGGAACAGTTAAAGAGATCAAAAATTCTGAATCAAAACCAATCCTTGGACACTCAGCCTCTTCAAAAGGCTTAAGCAATCCTCATTGATAATACTGAGAGAACTAAATAAGAATTTACTCATGAAAACCAAGAAATATTTTTTCTTAGTTCAAAATACTGCAGCAACCTTTATGACCTATGGGAAACTAGTAATTTCAACACACACACAAAAAACAACTGTCCTGGTTTCAGCTGGGACAGAGTAGTCTTACTTCACAGTGTATGATATAATGCTAGTTTTGCCGTCAGGAGAATAACAATGTTGATAATAAACTGATGTTTTAGTTGTTGCTCAGCAGTACTGAGCAGAGCCAAGGCTGTTGAAGCTTCATCTACTGTCCTGCCAGTGAAGTGGCAGAGATGCACACGAAGCTGGGAGGGAAGAGCTCCAGGACAGATGACCTGGACTGACCAAAGGGATATTCCATACCATACGAGCTCATCTGAATACATCATACAAATGAGGGGATTTGGCCAGGGCAGGGCTGCCACTGGCTCAGGGACTGGCTGGGTATGGATCAGTGGGTGGTGAAAAACTGCACTGTGCATCACTCATTTTGTAAATACACACACACACACACGTTATCATCACTATTATTTCTCTTCCTGTTTTCTGTCTTAGTAAAAGGTTTTAATCTCAATCAACAAGTTTCACTTTTTTTCCCCAATTCTCTCTTCCAGAGTGTGGTGAATGAACAACTACGTAGTGCTGAGCTGCCTGCCAGGTTAAATCAGAACACAAACATACTGATTTTTCTACAGATATTAAAATGTGATCACCATATCAGGAATCCCTTCATGAAAAATATGGATATGCATTCAATAATAAACATTCAATAATTAAGTTTTCACAATATTTGTTGGAATACTTAGAACTTATTTACGTGTCATCAGTAGACTATGTATCTTTACCACAAACATAAAAATTATCTGCATTTTTCCATCCCCTCAACCAGTGAAACGAATTCCATCTGCAAATTGTAAATTATCTGTCAGTCCTCATTGCATTTCTCATGCAAATACACTTTTGTTCCTGCTTTTTATTAAACTTACCATCAGTTCAAGGATTAAAATCGCAAAACCAAACTTCTGGGAAGGACAAAAATACACCTGATTTATTCAACTTTATCATTTAGTAAAATAGAAGATACTTGTAATCTCAGTCATATTCTTGGACTACTGTAGTTCCCATAACACAAAATTATTTTCCAGTTATCAAGCATACAAATAATGTTAAGATTTAAAAAAAAAACAACCACCAGTAATTTATTTCTTTATCACGTAAAAGGCTTTCCATTCCTTGAAAAGCTCTTAGATATGGTTAAAAATGGTGTAGTGGTGTAATAATCCTATGTTTCAGGATATTATCCAAGCAGAGACTTAATTTTAGGGTTGTTAGCAATGTAGCTACCACCCACTGGGGTTAATAAGTAATAGATTAAATTGTATGAAAATGTATTTATGACTGGACACACAAATTCAAGAGAACAGAATTAGGAATATCTTGTCAAGTTAAATGACTAATCCACAGTTGTTGAAGACATTTTGACAAAGTTTTATGAAATAGACGACTGAAACAGCAAGGAATTTATTACCTTCCAGGTACGGAACTGAGAAGTTGGTGCTGACATTATAAATCATTCTGCAGGTCATGACATTGCTGCCACAAGGCTCGTAGTGCCATTCGCACTCATTACGAGGATTATAGTAGTCACAAAATATTGCTGATGAGAAAAAAGGAAAGCTGATTAAAAATACAGTTGTTACAATGAAGCTCAGCCCAGATGTTTGAACATAAAAGCTAAATTAATCCACAAGTTAAGCTTGCAAAATGATCTTGATACAGGACTTGTAGATACACTTCCTTCTATTACATGTAAACATAGACTATATCAAAATTTGAGATTAAAATCTGGGATTTTGATATTACACCTAAGATGCAGAAGGAAAACAAATGTTTGATTAAAACCACACAAAACAACCAAGAATTAGTGTTTATTTATATTTCTAATGAAGGGTAAATTTCTGTGAGCTTTTTTCCCCTATCTACTATCAAATTTATAAAATCTCTTGCAGTATATATATTCAAAGTAGCTCTATCTTGCTGTATGACATGGGCTGAGTAACCTCCAGCAGGTCAGGAACAAGCATATGAGATATTATGGATACAACATTAAAATATGTTGTCCATAATGTTGAACATGTTGTAGTTGACTATGGATAGAGGAAGGAAATTTTCTGTATCACCAACTTCTTACACTTGAAAACTTAAACTTAGCCTTAATTTTGAACCAGAATAAATTTTTACAATTACATTGCCATTTCTGGCATTAAGAATCTCAGAATTTGGTTTTGAACACTTTTTTGGAGGGGAAGAAAAATACAATTTAAATATTGACTTACATTATTTTATGATTTCTGGTATGAACACTATTAATGGACATTTCTTAATACAGTCAATACTGATTAGGTTCACCTACGCAAGAGTACTTCCATATACTTAAAAAAAAAAGCCAATTCTGAATCATTTGTGCAAACAGAAGAAAGACAACAGGAGCTGCAGTTTGCCAATTATCAAACAAAACAAAAGGACCACTTAACATCTAGCCTTAAAACTCCTAAAGCCACCATCACCCCTCAAAAATAAAACATAACTGCTATAAAAAATTTACTAATTCTGTCTGTTCCCTGAAATGCCATGAAAATAAGTCACAAGGGCAAGCACAGTCCTGCAGTATTCATAATTTATTTAATAGGGTCCCTGACAGCAGACAGAAAGATACAGTTGTGTTTAGCTGTTACTCACGGCATATATCCGGACTTCTCCAGAAAACACAGGCCTGAGCCTTGGTACATTCTTGTGCATATGCAGCAACAGCAGAACAGAAGCAATCACAATCTCCACCGCTGTCACAAGAGCAAGCATCATGAACACAAGCATCATAGAAAGGAGATGGGTTCACCTATTGGAAAAAGAAATGATGCCACAGTTCATCTCCAAACTAATAAGCCTGAGATATCTCTTGAGACAATGGGAACTGAGCTGGACAGGAATGAGAACGTTTCTAAGAACTACTGAACAGTATAGGCTAGAAATTATTTCATGTATTTAGTATGAAGTAATATAACATCTTTGCATTTCATAGCAAATACAAAGCAAATAATTTTGTGCTTGCCAGTTTTTGGAGTTCATCCAGTCACATATTAGGAAAACATTGCAACATTTTTGCTTGGGATCAGAAAAGGAGAAATTTGGATTGGATTTTAGGTCCTGAAGAAATCAATACAGAAACACATATTAAGTCAGTGAAAATCTTACTTCTTCGTGACTTTTCCACCATGAAATAAAAACAAATTGTTGTTTATACTGGTATACTTCAGGGGAGAGACAAGATACAGAGATGTGCTATGACAATTTATAGCATAGTGCTAATAGTTAAGCTTGTTTAAACTGCACAGTCAGCAATTTCCAAGTAAATCACTTCTGAAGTTTGAATACTAACAGGCACAACAGTCTCTCCAGCAGTCACGTTTCAAGTACAGTATGTGGTTCTGCCACAAGATGGGTCTGATGACTGCAGGACCTCTCAGAATTTATAGCTGTGACATTTTCTCTACAAGAAATGGTACAACTGCAGCAGATACCTATTCAAGCTAGATTTACAAAGCTAACCTGCACAGCAGTAACAGCAAAAAAGTGGTGATAAATATGAGGTCTGAGATTTGAGTCTGGCACCTCTGCTGAAAAAGCTCTACTCAAACTGCTTTGACAAAGGCTAGCTGAAATGTGCTGACACTTCTAGCTATACTGAAGACTTAGCTGAAGATACGTCTGCTTAACTACTTCTTCATTCATATTCCTGCAGTGACAGAAATGCACTGTGCTATCCCATCACTTACTGCCATCTACAAACCTTGGAATGACAAATTTTGAAGATTTCACTCAGGATAAGGCTGCATTCTTTCTCTGCCCAGGACTTGCGATGTGGTTTCAGATCACAGGGTTTAATCTCTTCTGTGACATCAGGGCACACAGATGACTGTTTCCAGGAATTCCCAAACTCCAAAGCACTTGTCTCTTGCAGACCACTCCTGCTTGTAAAGTCGTTGTTGGACTTGTCATCAAAGTTGCCACACAGACCACACACTTTCCCCTGTAAAAGGAAATGACAATATCCATGGCTATTAAATATATTATGGAAGTGAGAAACAGACTCTATCATAAGGTTGGAAAACAACATTCACACTGAAAAGTACAACAGATTCTCCCTGTAAATGATACGTTTTCATCTTCACTTGTAAATCATTTACACAGAAATTAAACTTTCATTTGACTGTGTACTCAGCAAACTACTCAACTGCCCTTCCTTAAAACCAATTGTACCCACTGTATTTCTGTCTCTGTGTCCCTTCGTTCCACTTATAAGACTGAAGAGTGACTAAGCTTCTTTCAGCTGAGAAGAATGAATTTATTTTCCTTTATTTTCCATTATTCTCAATTATAACATAAATACTATTAATGTAAACATGAGAGAATTTCATTATGTAACTGGCATCGCTTCTTTATCCACAAAAACAAAAAAAGCACTGATTTTTCTTGAAAGAAAGAATTCAGCAACCTAACTATAGTAGTGAATTTTCGGTAGTGCTAATAAAGGCACACCAACTTTCTGAAGGAATAGCCTGATCCTGTTATGAAACTCCACACCACCTCATTCAGCACAATGAACACAGTACTCCATAATTCAGCATGCTGATTTTCAGAAATCTGACCCATCTCCAGACATTGCATGGAAGTCTGGTTTTAACTCGGGGCTCAGATTCTGAGCACATACACAGCCAATTCAGAACCCCATGAATTACTCTGGGTGCCTGGCTCTTATTATTCACAAACTCAGGTCTTAGACACTTAGCTTTAAAGCAATCATATGTTATTCATATTCTGTCATGTAAGAAACTCTAGTAGAACTGCACCAAGATGTTTTAGGAACATCAGAGATGTAGGATTAAACTCACAGTCAGAAAAGAAGATTATCTGTGTTTCATTATCTCACTCATACTTCTGTTTCAGAAAAAGACAGAGAGATTCTAACTTACTTTATAGTCAGGAGTCAGTTTGATGAAAACGGTGGTCTTCTTATCCCAGATAAGCATCACACCATTACTAGCTTCAATAACAAGGTAGAGACCTACTGTCTTGTTCTGGTAATACACATCATCACCAACATCTCGCTGAATTTCTTTATAATCCTTGTTCTCCAACTTCAGTTCAGTTTTCTAAATGGTAAAAAGATGAGAAAAAGAATAACACTAACTTCTATGATGAAATAAATAATTAAATAATCATAAGGGTACAGCTCAGACTGAAACTAAGGGCTCAGAGTCTGTTGGATGACTTTTTCCCAGGATGACAGAAAGCAGTGTAGCACCTTTGTTTGAGACGACTTGAACAGACTTCAGTAACTCAGAATCTACAGCTTTACAAATTACTTTGACAGGGTCTTGCATCTTTACTTATTATAGCTGGCTTTGTATCTTTGTATATACTTGGAGCACTATTTTCTTGAATTACTTGAATATACACTCACTGAATACTCATTACTCACCCCTATAAACATTTTAATGGCCTTTGAGCAGGTGACTCCTGTTGTTCCACAAGGAACGTTCTCTGTGATGATACTGAATGAGCCACCAGAATTTTTGTCACCACAATAATCCTGTGGATAAATGAACAAATGAGCACAAAAAATTGAGTAGAATATTTCAACTCTATTTCAATTTAATAATAATAGTTACAAACACAGGCATATCCACATTGTATAAATTTTTACTACCTCAGTACATGTTTTTACAGATGCACAAACAGATGCACATACATCTCAGCATGTATTTAGTATGCAAAGTCTCACATATAACAAAACCTGGGAAACAAGCAGTACAACAAATCAAACAAGGAACATATCTCCAGATTTTTGTTTTGTAAACTCAGACTTTTTGCTTATTTCAGATTATGATGATAAACTGTTAACTCTCACTATTAACTAGTCCTTTTACATGCAATTTATGAATACTGTAAAATTAGAAAACAGTCACAACTTGACCATGCTAAGCATACAGAATTTATCTTGGCATAACCTGTGATCATCTCAGGAACAGTGATAACAGTCAGTAAGAAATAACAAAATCAGAAAGGAAATCAGATCTTGAAGGCAATTGGAAAGCACTCTAAGATTCCAGTTCCGTTCTGATGAGCATTACCTGAGTAGCCACATATTCACAACTTCCATCAAAGTCATAGAATTTTCCATCAAAGGTGATATAATGGCCACTTCCATATATCATGCAAGTCCCATAGCACACGTTTTCAGTGCAGCTCCAGATACCTTTCTGGCAGGTACTAGAAGAGAGTGAGAGTTAACCTTTCAGATCTCACCAACAGCATGCTGCTTAGAAAACCGCAGAACATACCTGATACCTGACTCATGATAATGTGCACAACATCCATTTTGGTTTTACTTAGTGTCTTACATATCAAATGCAATAGTTTAGGCTATTTTAAGTTTATAACACAACCTTTAGCTCTGGCTCTGACATATTTTAGGTTGGTTATTGATTATGTCTAAAAACTGAATACACTTTCCTAATAAAAGATGCCTACTGAAAGCAGAAGTTGCTAGTTACCCTAATATTTTCCTTACAATCTGTATTTCCTCAAACAGAAAAAAATATGCCTGAAAATAAAGACTTCATACCTGCAGCCACCATAACCACTGCATGACTATTAATTTACTATGTGGAATATGTTCTAGAAAAGAATATAGAAAACCAACATACCAGGTGTTGCAGTCCACTGATATGCTCTGCCCGTGGTTATACCAGTCGCTGTTATGAATACATGGGCAGTCCTCTTCCACAACACAGCCCCCTCTACCATCATCAAACAGACCTTCAGGACACACGCAGCCTGAGACACATTCACTTTGATACTAAGTAATATAAAGAAAAATTGGTACTTTAGGAATAAGCACTGAATTTTTCTTTCAATTCTTCACTTCATTTTGGTACAAAAAGCATTTATAACCAAATAGTCCCATGACAAATTGTTTCATAAGTTTTTTCTTTCTAGGCTCTTAAGGTATTTTGTTTTATTTTTTGTTTATGTTTTGTTTGTAAATTTGAATCATATTTTAGTTAGTGGTACATCTCTACTGAACTTCTTTTTTGATTTTACTATGCTTATGCGGGAAGGTAAAGAGGAGTGGAATTGCAGTGATACTGATAACAGATTGAAATCATTGGGGGAAAAAAAAAGATGCAAAGAAAGGAAAATGAGAATTGCTAGTTGCAATTGCTTTTTCTGAAATGCTGTGTTGACTAAAGAAAATGTAGTATGGAGAATAACTGAATACATACAAGATCAGTTTGAGAAGCACCACAGCGAAGTTGTACAGGTGTTTGTGAAGTCCAGTCTGGGGATGTGTTGCAATCAAAGTAGGTTTTGTTTGAAGAACATTCTGTTACATCTGAAAGGTATATTAGGTTGATTTAGGCGAATCAAGAGAAGCCAAAACAAATGTGAAGGGTGGTAGTCACTGAGACACAAATCCTAAGTAATATCTATCCTTGTGAAAAAAAGAAGAAATGTCTATCCTTGTGAAGACAGAACAAAGTGAAAATGCACAACTGTTTCACAGTAAGAGAAAAAAATGAACAAGCAAAACAAATAAATAGAGAATTGAAGAGGAAGGTGCAATCTGGGGTTTGAGGAGCTTGGGTTGTTTTTGTTTCTTTTTTTTCTCTTTATTTTAGAGAACGTCACTTACTTTTCATTGTCGTTGTCACTGAAGTACATTGGACCTTTGCATTTCGGCAAACGCTAGGAAAGAAGTGAAGTAAGACAGAAATTCAGAACCATGTAAGCTCAGTGTCTTCAATTTCAGTCTTAGGATTAGACATCCTGCATAACTGATGATATTTCAAGGTGAACTCTACTGAAGTGCACTCAATGAATTCTCACTTGTAGAAAAGGTGTGGAGAGATTTTAGTCATAATTCACAAAGGTAGTGTTTTAAGGAATGAATGCTATTTATTAATCAATGCTTTGCAATGACTCAGTAAACAGACAATAATTGAAACCAAAGCCTTAATTTGGATAACGCAATAAATTTTCATGCCTGTTCAACTCATACACTGCATATCTGTTGGCTTGTATCTTTTCTTACCCTCTTTAGGACAGAAGGAAGTATTTCACATTTTGCACTTATGATTCATTCAGTAAACAGTTGTCAGAGGGTTCATCAAGATTGAAAATTCTAGGCTTGTGAAAGCTGCTCTCAAATGATACACTAAATACCAATTAAGGGGACCTTCCTCCAGTGGAAGACAAGTAATTGGTCTCTGACAGAAAGGCAAATAATAAAACACAAAAGCTAGCCTTTCATCTTCCTTTTTCCTTTTGCTCAAAAAAGACCTATTGACAGTACCACTTCAAGTTCACATTTACTTGTGAAAGCCAGGAATAACAACTCAAAACAAAGCTGTACTTGTCAATTATTAATAAACTACATTGCAACAGAAGATATTTTGCTCAACATGAAGATGGTGTGAATCATGTTACAAGTGTTAGAGCATAATTAATAGCCAAATGGCTTACACTTAAAAAACAATTCAAAAAGGGCTTTTATCCCAACAAACAGGAAGATGCAATAAAACATACCAACGCTCTCCATCCTTTATAACATAATCCCCAGGTTCCAGATACGACCCCTTGTAATAGCATGGGCATTTGGAGATGGGCACACACGTATCCTCATTATCCAAGTATGTATTATCTGGGCAGCCACAGCCATCCACAGGAGCAAAGTCTTGCAAGCAGTACTTTTCACCATCAGCAATGGAACGACAGGTTTGCTGGCACATTGTAAGATTGTAGAGGAAGACTTGATTTCCTGGGCAAGAGGACACTTCAGCAGCTGGAGGGGAAAAAAGCAAACTCATATAAAAGAAGTGCAAGGAAACCTTGATGTTTCTATTTTGGCTACTTTGTGCAACATGTAATGATAAAAGCATTCCTTTTGATTTTACTGAAGTACAAGTTACCATAACTAATAAGTAGTACTACTCTGATTTAGTTTACCAGGTGAAGACTTGTTTTTAACCACCACCAACAGTTACTAATTTCATACTCATTTATTTCACATATTGACAACCAGAAACAGAGCACACTAAGACAAGCTCCTATTCCCACCAATATTGCTGAAAAGCAAAGACAATGATATGCAAACACATTGTAAAAGCTACAATCCATTCCTGTGGATGAAGTCACTTAATCAAAGATCAAAATAGCATTATTTAAAGTAGGGAAAGAAGGTGAAAGTGAAAAATACTGCTTTCTAAGTTTTCTAAAAAATATGTGTCACAAACAAATAAAAGCTGAAATCCTGTTCATTTCTGGTGGCTAATTAATTTCATAGGGATCACAGTTTTATTACTTACAGCAGACACTTTGTCTCCAGCCACCCAGTATGATCCCTTTGAAAGCACAAGCTCTTGAATAAGAGGACAGGGCAGCACACAAGCACTCCTCACTGTCCTTGCAGAGGCAGGTATCATATTTACATCTCTGAAAAGAGAATGAAAGGGTCAAAAAGATCACAGAAAAATAACTGGCTGTTCCAACTTGGTTGCTATAAAATATCGTGTGCTCTTTCTCCATTGTTGTTTTTATTAATTCCTGTGATCAGAGAACTATGGAAGGAATGGATAACGCCCAGAGACTGAAAGTGTTGCTTCATTTCATTCAGACTAAAAAGCCACGCCTCATGAAGCTTTATAAAGTAGCCTGCCTCCTAACAACACTTTCCATAAAGGATTTTGATATCACCCTTTCTCAGTTAGAACTTAGAAAGGCAGAGATCCATAAAAATTAAAAATTATAATGGCAAACTGTCAACCAGATCTATGAAGATTTTCAAAAACCTTGAGCTCAGATTGGGTACTAAACATTGCAAAGACAGGAATCTGTAAGTGTAAGCATCACTTAGACTTCTGTGTATACCTGTATCTGTTGAATCTTTTTTCTATGTACACTATGCTGCTTGACTGACAGCTGCAAAAACTTTGCCAGGTTTTATGGTCACATTATTCAGTAATGCCTCAAATATTTGAGCAATGATAAATGTCTCCATCACCCATCTGAAACAAAGGAGCACTAAGAAGAGCACAAGATTACAATACCTTGTAGTATTCTGCAGGATCAATGACTGAGTGACAACTTGCAAATGGGCCCTCTGAGTTTTTCAGCAAAGAACACCAATGCTCAGCATAATTTGCTGGAAAAAAAAAAAGTATTACATAATTATATTAATTACATTCACTCATCTCCCTTGTGCTACGTCTAGTTATATTGCTACATCAATATATTGTTACATCAAATAATTGCAATGTAACAATGCAGATGAGAGGACTGTGAACTCTGCGGAGTGGAGGAACTACATGCAGTCACTGTGCACATACTTCCACTCTATGATTCAGATATCTAGTGTTAGACACAATCATAAAATCAAGAATTGTATCTTACTGCTGCAAATAGATTTGTGACAGCTCTTATCATTTGCGGACCATCACTGCCAAGTTAGACAGAAGAAGAAATAATACTACAATGTACAACCTTCCTTTCTAGGTAAAAAGAAAAAATTAGAATGACCTTGCTTCCCTGTCTTCTAGCTCTGGATTCCTTTTGAATCACAACTTAAACTTTCACTCCAATTTGATGTGAAATCAGTGCTGGTATGCATACATATTTAAATAATTGAATTATTAATTTGACAGTCCTCTAAAGTACGTCAATGCCACAATGCAACTCTTCTACTCCAGTTGCAGTAATATACAGCAGCTCATTTGTCTTATTATGCTCACCACTTTCAATGCTGAGACTGCAGGGGTCTTCCAGCTTTTCTTCTTGGTCTGCACAGGTGGACTGAGCTTTCCATGTGTTAGCAAAGGCAGATCCTGTAGCTTCTACCAACCCACTGGTTGTTTTAAAGTCATCACCTTCCATTCCATTAAAATTTCCACAAAGACCTATTGAAAAAGTAAACATTTTCCCTATTACTCACTCTCATTCTGCAAGGGAAAGAGACAGCTGATTATAAACGCTGGAGATAGAAGCTAATATACCTGATTCTTCATCCTCAACACTGATGCTTACTGTAAGTACTGAAGGTTTAGGAGATCTATTTGAAACCTAAAATCGTGAAGATGAATAGCCCTCATGACAGTATCTTTGCCTCAGGAGATCATCCTCATAGTCTGATATTAGCAAGCAATTCTTCACCATAAGAGTGGCGAGGCACCACAGTAGGTCGCTCAGAAAAGTTCTGAGTTTCCCATCCCTGGAAATTGTCAAGGCCAGGCTAGCTGGGGCTCAATGGGACAATGTGATCTAGGGGAAGATGTTCCTGCCATTGCAAGAGGGTGAAACTAGATGAACTTCAAGGTTCGTTCAAACTCAAACCATTACATAAGTCTATGAATTACCACCCATGTGAAGAATATATGACTCAACAGCTGCGGAAATGCATGCTTTGCTTCCTATTTCAGTGGACACTTGCCTTGAAGGTCCTGGACTGTCTGATTTGCTGTCACAAAGAGTTGCATGACTGGAGACAACTGAATCTGCAGTTGAAGCCCGAAAGAAGTATGTACAACGAGGTAGTAAGAAGATGGCTTGAAAACTGAGAAGCTAGCTGAAAAACAAAATAAGAACTGTGTTGTGAACACACATAGATTGCTGAAAGAAACAATTTTTATTAATTTCGTATCCTAAAGATTAGAAAAAAATCATTTGATTTAGATCACACACTGCCTTTTTTATATTGCTTTCATATGGAAAAAGGATGATGGTCTATGAATTAATATCACTGCCTCAGAACAATTTGCAATGACAGACTATGACTCAGCCTAAATATCTCTGAGAAAGGGAACAAGCAGATGTTATATCAAATGCAAATATGCCTCAGTTGGTTATACGGTAATAAGAAACAACAGGATGCTGTGGATTTTTTTTATATTCTATATGAACAGCATAGCATAAACCAGCCATAAACCAGCTAGAACAATCTCTAGAACTGACATTTAAAATCAGTAGAGGAATTGGGTTTCCTAGCTATCGATAATTTCCTATAGCAAATCTATTATTATATGCCCTATTTATTAGATGGTCTGTTTTATTGCCTAGAACAGTTTAATTTCTCTGAACTTGTAGCTAAGATGTTGTAATTGCTTTTAGACAAGCACTCACAACTGCCCTTCCATGAATAAATACCTTGTCAATGTGCAGCATGAGCATATCTAAAAAGGAGTGATAGAATGTAAAAGCTCTACATTACTTTCAGAAATTGCTGCAGGACCTCACAGTTGCTGTTTGATAATTACATCCCACCAGAATTTAGGCTTGTGAATTAGGCCATATGAGTCATATTCTGAAAGTACCTGAGTCTACTGATTATATAAAAAGATGCAGGTATCCCAAGCTAGAAGGGAAGATAACAGGGTTCCACATAGTACATCTATCTTCCCTGCTTTGGTCAATGTAGCACTTATCTTCTGCCAGGCTCTCTGCCCATGGACAAAAAAGGTGTGGAGAGGAAGTGGGAGCTTGAGTTGTAATAACACTGAGAGCCAGAATATGCCCACATCACATACTCAGAAAATTCTAAATACCCCTCTTCTTAGGGAAACTGACTTACTCAATTTAAGTTTCAGCCATGAAAAGTTCTCTTTCCCGAGTTACATGCCAAAATATATTCAAGCTGAATCAAAACAAGTGAAGGGATTTTTTTCCAGTGATCGCCGCCCAGGGAGGTTGTGGATGCCCCGTCCTTGGACGTGTTCAAGGCCAGGTTGGATGGGGTCCTGGGCAACCTGATCTGAATGTGTATGTTTGGTGGCCCTGCTAGGCAGGGGGGTTGGAACTACATGATCCTTGAGGTCCCTTCCAACCCGGGTGATTCTGTGATTCTGTGAATTGTCAGTGGAAGCTATCAAGCCACATTTACCTCAAAATCACTCCAAATACACTTAATTCTTCTTTCAACATCTGAACAAATTCCATATGCCTGTCTCCAACTTTTGGCTCTGAAAAAGTACAACCTCGTCTGGAGTACCAGCTCCATGACAACATGCAAGGCTGTGGTCCTTACCTGACACATGAGGCACATTCACTGTCATCTCATTCAGTGACACACTGCCATCCGATCTGAAAACCACCACCTGTATGAAGGGAAACAGGACTGATGAGGTTCCAGATATTGAGAAGAACAAAAATTGATAGAAAAGTAACTTTTTAAGAGCAGAGAGTGAAGAAAAAATATTTTGCACGTTTAGACTGTGGCTAGAACTTAAAATCTATGAGAGGAAGAATCTGTCTTAAAACTGAATGCGGCAGTGGGCATGTATGACAGAAGTAAGGCTTAGTCTTCCTATTTAGAGTTTGATTACATCTGTCTATAACAATATATAGCAAGCAATAAACTGAGTTGTCATTTTTTAAACACTGTGGTTATACAAATAGAAGAAAATATTGGGACTTCAGGATATATAAATAGTTCTGGTTTCCTACAAAAGCAAAGGCAATGGTAAATGTAATGGTTTAGTATGATTCTGTTGCAGTAAGAAAGCAGTATGTTAAGCTCCCTCATAAAATGCTAGTTTGTACATACAGTGACAAAAAAACGGTTTTCTGATTTGGTGTGATTTTTTAATTTTGCTGGTAAGGGCATAGGAGAGCCAAAACATGGGAGAAAAGTCATGTTTACATATGTAAAATTATGTGTAAACATAATACAGGTATTCCCATAACCAAACATAATACTTAAGTAAATAAGACGACTTTACATAAATATGAATCAAAAATGCAAAACAGCACTAAAGATTTCCCATCACTATCATTTACATTATTAATGAATTAAATACAAATAGAAGAAGGTTGGATGTCTTCTGAAAAAGACTCAGATCTAGGAAATCAATCTGAAGAAAAGTAAAATACCACAAGGGGAGGAAGGATGGCACTTTTTTTTTCTCACCAGCCTGGAAGATGGTGAGACACGGCAGAGAGCAGAGAAAGGGGAAAACGTTAGCTTATTTGTATTTCAGCATTTGCTCAGCTGAGGCCTATTCTGAATTCCTGAGGTAGAAGCTTTAGTTTTTTATCAGCCTTTCTGAGCTCTGTTATCCACTCTCTTCAGATGATTTTGGAAAACTCTGGGATGTTTGCTAATTTTCAAAACACCCAGCAGAACTCAAACACCACTTACATTTTTTTTGTCATCTACTAGCAGCACAACAGTCTTCAAACAGGTCTGTCCATCTGTGGAGCCACAAGGAGCCAGCTCTGCCAGGAGGGCATCAGTATTATTCACAGCACTCTACAATCACAGGGAAATAAATGTCCATTAGTCCAATGAAAAATCTCTCATGCAACACGATTTCCAAAATTAAGACTCAAGCCACTGGTTACAACAGCAATTGCTGTAGAACTTAGCTATTAAAACCTCAGTTTTAGCACAAAATGAACTCTCTCTCTCTCTCTCTCTCTCTCTCAAAAAAAAAAAAAAAAAAAAAAAGAAGAAGAAAAGGAATGGTATAGTTTCTAGCTCAACAAAATCTTTGGAAAATACGCACCAGATATTTTAGGGACAAATGAATGAAATAGCTGTCAAACTCTTCTCCCTAGCTTACTTTGACACACAGACACAGATACAGCTATAACGGATCTGACTGAGACATTCTAATCCTGAGAACTGCAGTTTTTGCTGCCTACCCTTCCATGCAGTCAGCGTGCTTCTTGATATATATGAAAGACTGCTAAGTGACTAAGTAAGACATCCATTGCAGTAAGAGCCCATGTCCTCCCATGGGGCAATAACAGCCCATCCTGAATTTTCCACTGAGGCTGTTAACATTTCTGCTTCCCTCATTCCATGAAACTGGAATAAAGCAACGATTCACACCTATTACATATGAGTGCACAGACGCATTTAATGTGTGAGAGAAAAGCTCTACAGTACACAGTACCTTGGCCAACACATAGTAACAGTCTCCATGGAAGGTGTATTTCTTCCCATCAAAGGTCGTAATATGGGAACCTCCTTCCACTGAACATGTGCCTGGACAGGGTAAATCTTGGCACGTCCATCTGCCTGAATCACAGGTGCTATAAAACAATAAATAATCCAGAAATATATGTATATGTTATAGGAACTGAGAGCACTAAAAGCATCTGTACAGCCAGCAAATAGCAAACTATACCCAGGTGTTTTAAATTTTAAAAATTAAAAATTTGACCACTCCCTAAAGATTTTTCTCATCACATGGCATTAATACAAGAAAATCTTTCAGAAAACCTGTATAGACATATAAAATAAACATAAGTTCAGAATGTTTTCAGGAAGTCATTTACAACTAAGTGGAAGATTGAAAAGGACAGACACACATACAGCTGAAGAAAGGTGAACGACGGTGATGATCCTTACCATTCTTCACACTCATTGCTAATGGTTTCTCCAGGTGAATACCCCTTTCCATGCAGTCTGCAGTAGCACTCGCTAACAGGTACGCAGCCATTTTCAGTGATATCATCATACACAGTTCCTGTAAAGCAAAACAGCAAACTATTACAGCTGCTTCTGAAATCCGCAGTTTCCACAGAAGAGAAACACTAAGATTGGAGACACACTCAGCCTGACACAGAAAACAAAGGCTGAGGTTACCAAAACAGAAGAAAAGCATTTTGACTTTTTTGTAACATAAGACACATGGAGAATACTTTAAGCCAGCTTTGAAATTCTAAGTAGATCCATTTACATAATTACACACATCTGAAAAACTACATACGAACAACTTCAAAAATTTTCAAGGCATACTATGAAGGCTACCACCGTCATTTTTTTTCTAAGATTGACAATAAGTCTTAGAATTTCACTCAAAATAATTAGTAGCAGTAGTAACTTTTTAGATATAATTTGACTTCATCTAATATTTTAATTATGACCACCTTTGCTAGTGCTCCTAGGTTTTGTTCTTGTTTTATTGTTTTCTTTTTCATTTAAAGACATGTAAAAATAATACAGACATATACACATACAAGAACTAGAAATACACTTGCCTTCAGGGCAGAAACAGCCATCCATGTAATGTTCCTCACAAAGGCTGCTGATTTCCAAGTGTGAGCAAGTATCCATGCAAGGTGAGCTGCTTTCTCTATAGACCATGTTGCCAGGACATGTCTTGTCTGAAAAAAATGAAGAAGAGATAAGATTATTTGAATGTTAAGTCCATCATTCATCAGAAAGCACAGGTTACATGACCCACTTACTTCACATAAGTGGTGCCCCAAGCCAGGCTCAATTTTGCAAACTATTCTTAATATTTTACTGTTTCTGAGTTGTTTTCTCTGTTTGATTTTTTTTTATTATTTTTTCCTTTTGTTCATGAACTGTCTTACCTACAGCATCAGATCTCAAGCTTTTTAATAGGAATATAATTTCTACTAGCTGAAAAAGATTTCTTAATATAAAGGGAACAGAAGAAAACAGAAAGAACACAGTACATTGTATATTGCACTACTGGTACGTAATTTATGGCATATGCCTATCACTTGGTAAAGGAAGAATTTATTTAAATGTTTTGCAGTGCTAGCCCTGTGAAATATTTGTTTCTTTGTAAGATGTATATAGCTGCTTACAGCAAAAGTTCTCTGTCCTCCATTCACCCGGCCGGCCACCTGCATGTGAACACTGGCGAGAATACTCAGAGATGGTGCTGCAGAGGCAGAAGGAGTCCTCACTTCCTTCACATGAACACTTGTCCTGCATGCAGGCTTGGATGTACGTTTCCAGATTAAGGCGTGAGTGACAATCAGCAAATGCAGAGGAGGTCAGCAGCTTCTCACATTCATCACGCTGGGAAGGAAGAGTACAAGTATTTAGGAGACTTGTAGGCACCTGAGCTCCTACACACTTCCTTTTCTGGTAATGGAAACTGTAATATCCTGAAGAGATTTACACACGAAATGAAGAATAAACCATTTGCCCTGGAATGGATAAAGTCTTCACACCTCTTCACAAACTAACATCTCACAGTGCAAGGATGTCTAAGTTCACTTGAAGTTAGGCTTACTCACATGCTCAGTACAGCTTGGGAGAGCCTGAGTTTCATCAGGGTCTTCACATTCATCATTGGGTTTGCTTATCTTCTGTAAATTCCCATACGTAATTGAATTGTAGCTTGCAACTGTGAGAAAAAATTAACAGGAGGCCTTACTAAGAACAAAATGTTGACAAGGACCATCTGATTCCTGAGACTCTACTGATGAAGGAAAACAGTTACTATGATACAATCTCTGTCTGTCAGATGTGCATCTCTTTTCTCAATTATGTCTATTTTAAGTGTACTTAACAATTTAAACATCATAACAAGAAAAGAAGGCCAGCAGAAAGGGAAGATGATGCACCTGGAATGAAAGAATCTTAGATCAAGGAAGCAGCACTGGTTCATAATGTTCACTCTGGGAAAAACACAGCAGTATCTGAGATAAAATGTGCCCTCCTGTGATGCTCCTATACACAATGCTTATGAGCCTGTATTTGTGATATTTGTCACAAAGCATACAGTATACACGTATGTGACATATATGACTCACCTCCCCTAATAAACTCATTGTAGATAGGAACTCCATTGTAATCCCCGCAAAGACCACATGTCTGGTTACCAAACTTGCTGTCCAGCTCCACCTAGATAATGGAAAGAAAAAAAAGCAACAAAAAAAGAATTAGGTGGAGCATGAAGACCTTCCAAAATGAGTATGTTTAATTGAAAGGGAAGTTGCTAAATGATAGAACAGACTGCAAATCCAAAACACTCCCAGAAGTTGTTGTTTCTTCACTGCAAATTAGTTTGTAACAGTTAAGAAACAAACAATCGGATCCAAAAATAGTAAAAAAAAAAAAAAAAAAAAAAAAAAAAAAGGGTCAAAATGTCCTTTATTTTAATAAAGGCTATAAACACCATGCTGATAAAGATGAAAAGGAAAACATTCTGTAAATTTCTGTACTTTTTTTCCTCCTTTTTCTTAACTGCTGGGATAAAATTTAAGCCATGCTGAAAATTAGGCAAGCAGATAATGGCAGTCTTCTAAAAGACACATGAAGGAAAATGAAGATCTGATTGTGAGAGTGTTACAGCAAAAGCATTAGCTATTTTGCAGAAATCTGCTTCTCCCTTTCTTTAGAGTAGTAAGATCATCTGCACCCTACATTACTAACTCTGTCACATTGCAGAGACAGGAATTTTACCTTTTAAAAATTACATACTGTAAGTACCAGCTGGATGAGTAAGTCTAACAGTCTAGCTCGGTAAAGTCCATGAACTTCTACATCTATTCAGCCTACAGTGGTCTGTGAAACCCAGGAAATGCTAATTAAAAATAAATTGATTTTACATACCATCAGTGCATCTTCCTGATTCCATATGAGGATTAGACCTACTTTGGCATAAACCTTCATATAAACGCCATTGTTCTCAATGAGCAAAGAAGAGCTGTAGTAAGGTGTCTTGACACTAGAAAGAAAATCAGACTTTGCAGTAGTAGAGAAATACAAAGAGCAACATGAATGTCTATTATATGCCAAATACTCTAAGGAATGGAGGAACCAGCCTCTATTTCAATTATAGGTCCTATGCCTGTCACTGTTCAAGAGGCATGAGGCCAACACCCTTAATAACATACTGTAACTTTTGGTTACCCCTGAAGTAGTGAGGCTGTTAGACTAAACTCTGTCTACGGGTCCCTTCCAACTAAATTATTCTATTCTGACCCTATTTGTACAGGATGTATTGTTTTAGTGAAACACACAATCCTCTTTCGCTGATGTTCAACAAGATAATCTACTGTCTTAAAATCATAAAACAGCATCAGAGGTAAAAGGCTCCTTGAGAGCACAGATTCTTTCAGACAAAAAAAAAAAAAAAGAAGTCAGATGTCTTTAACTTAATTAAAGGAAAATCCATCATCACTTTGGCATTAATAGAGGATATTCAAATGCTCATTAATCATTTTACAGAATGACAGAATGGCCAGGGTTGGAAGGGACCTCAAGGATCATGAATCTCCAACCCTCCTGCCACATGCAGGGTCACCAACATCCCCATTTAATACTGGACCAGGCTAGACCCTTACCAAAGGCGTAATAGCCTAAATCAAAGTTTTCTATATTAAAGACTCCGGTAATCACTCCAGAGAGAATGGATATTCCTTTAACAAGATCTTTCTCTTCAAGAGAGAATTCAAAAAGCACATGCTAACAGAAGCGGTAGAAAAATGGGAACAGAAGGGAGCAGGTTAAGAGGAATTCATTCGTTTGTTTCAGTAGTTAGCCCAGTCATTTTCAGTTGGCAGGACCAAGCTTACTAACAGTGACAGGAAGGCAGTAACATGACAAGATATTTTGCAGAAGGCTGAGTATAGATGCTTTTGTTTGATAAGGAATCAATTCATGAGACATCTCTCCTATACTTCTATATCTGTTTTACAGTCTCTATGTCACAAGTCACACCACTGAAATTCATTCAGCAATAAAGGCAATGTGGCAAGCAGCCTTAACCTATAAAATCTAAAGGGCTGCTGTCTGTTCAAACAAAAATAGTGTACAAAGGAATCCAGACAAAATAACCAGTACATTTTCTACCTATTTGCCAGTACAATTATTGTCTACCAGGATTCATATATCTGTGCACATCTGGATGTAACCACTATTGTGACTGGGAGAATTTAACTCCTTATTACCTGTAACTGGGATATTTCCAACTATTTATCTTTTCACATGGTATTTTTCACATGGCCAAATGATTTAGGCATATAATACTAGGCAGGAACTCAGGCTATTATTTCTACTGTTGGCTGCACTGTCCATCCTTAACAATGAGGCATTAATAGATTGTGCTTTTAGAGAGGGATTATAAAAAAAAACTTGGGCAACTTTTCACCTCAGATATTGTAGAGTGAGATCTCTCTCTTTATCCTAACACTTGGACATTCCAGACCATCAGGTACCAAAAGCCAAACTCATGTATTTATCTGCTTTACAGATTTCACTTCAGTGGTGTGAAATACTATTTTTCATATAGCAATGGATCATACGCCGTTTAAAGAGTATTTTGGAAATTAAGTTCTACAAAAATTAAATCCTGCATGCAGCGAAAACCTGTTCTACAAGCCTCTGTTCACAAAGGATCTATTGTTTTATGAACAATAAGATAAAAAGAGGTGATGAGATGATTCAAGAAAGGATTTCTAAACATTTTTCATGGAGCTCTTTTTACGATCCAAGTACATGATGAGGGGCTTCTTTAATTTGGGACAAGAATGCATTCTGTATAATTTCATGTCATTTTGTTATTGTTTTGGTATGACCCCTGGAAAACTGATTGTTACTGTCTAATTTTGAGCAGTTTTTCACTGCAGTGTATTTCACACTTCAGATCAAAAGCTAACATCAAGACAAAATCTGATCCTACCCTGAAAGTAGATTTTTTTCCTTTTAATTACTCTAAGATATACTAACATCCATTTTCTTTCACTTTCATCCTGCAGAATTATGTCTTAACCTATGAGTTGCTTCACTTCTTTCAGTCTACATATATAAATACAGTCTGAAAGGTTAGGTTAAGACATAAGTTGACATGAATAATGATGTCAGGCTAATTCCTTGTGTGACCACATTACTGGAAAAGTTTTTTCACGATACGTATTGCCACACACAAATCCCTTTTCTGATCTACACTCTACCTGCCATAATTGCAAGAGGAATGGTTACTGGACTTTATGGAAATTCTTATGAATATCAGAAAAAAATACATGTCTACTTCCAGGAAGAGAAGACTGCATAGAAACACAGTTTTACTTCTGAGGATTTGCTAGACAGACCATCTGCTAACATAAACACAAGGTGATACCAAAAAACTAATGAAGCTACATCATTTCACAACAGTGAAAGATCTGGCTTATGAGCTGCATTTTTTTTCCTGCACAATTAGAAAGAGAAGATTCACTAAAGGTTTTTCCTGTCTTGCATTTAAATCATCCCTTATGCCCACGTAGAAATGACTATTAACAGTAAAGCCCTTTCCTAAAGCTGTTTTTATGCTGGATTTCTAACGTTCTTTTAATTCTTTTATTAGTAGAAATACTTTTAGCCACTATCCTATATGGCATGCAGACAGATGTGTAAAGAATCAATCCAGTTTTTATCTTCCCAGCACCTTTACACTAAATGTACTTACATCTGCCCATCCACAACAGCCAGATTGGGCTTGAGGTACACCGTGAAATCCGTGACTGTTATCAGGATATACTGGATCTCAGGGTGGTTATTGCTGTTCAGAGCACGCTGAATGTGGACAGAGAACTCCCTGTAAGAGTCTTGGCAGTCAGAAACAAAGTTATACTCGCACGTGCCAGGAAACTGATAGATATCTCCATCAAATGTTTTGAAATGGTTGTTCCCCCAGGTGCTGCAGACATAGTGGCCATGGTTTCTTGTCCTTCCTGTTAAGTTATGAAAAAGAAAGTCAGGAAAGTGAAATAAATGAGCTACAGTCAAGAAGAGTTAAGGGTTGCAGCATGCAGGAAAAGCCATTTGCAATTACACTCATGGTGACTCCACAGATCTGAAGTCTAACTGAGTATCTGCGTACTAACAGAAAAAATGTGAGTATCTAAAGGAAAACAAGATGTCAACAAACACTGGTGGGACTTGAGTATACCATGTAGTCCTCCCTTGAGAAGGAAATTGCCTGCATGAGATTGGTAAATTTACTGTCTGGCCACTATCAAGTTCGTGCATTGGCTTGCTTTGCCAACATGTGAATTTATTATGAATCGCAGTAATAGTTTAGCAATGTTAAATATTCCCAAGAGTTCTTTTCTCCTCTGATGCAACCTGCACTTGAAAGGAAACAGCACTGTGAGTCCAAAAAAGTTCCACAATTCTTCTGGAGGGCAAAAGGATTTCTACTACCACATGCCTTTGTAGGAGATAGGGTAGAGAATAATTGTGTAGTAGAGAACAAAAAATAGCAGATGATTAAGCTGATGCTCTGAAATTCATTCCCTCCCCAGCCATGGTAAATATCAAGATGCTGCATGTTAGGGCCGAGAATAAAAGCAGAGCATACTTGGGAAGCTTGCCAAGGTAACAAGCACACTTACTACTCATCTTCACTGGGCTTTCTTGCAATGTTTAATTTGAGAAAGCAGAACTATCATGAGAATGTCAAAGTTATCGCACTTAGATGGTTAGCAATAACAGATGCATCCAGCCTCTCTGGCACTACCAAAGCTTATCAATGCTTCTCTCTACAAAATGAAGGCTACAGAGAGATTCTCCCAGAGGTCACAACTAGGATCAATGCAACCCAATGCTTTCTATCATTAAATTCAAGACACAGCAAACAAAGATCAATATCCCAAGCCCAACCAGTGCACAAAATTCATAACCTATTTCTATAAAAATAGTTCCTAGTTTGAGAGTTCCATTTCAACACTACTAAGTTGATAACATACAGAACAAATTAGAGCTTACAGGAAAGGATTATTCATGTCCTGAATGACAAAATGAGCTTTGTCTAATGTTAATCCATTGACTTCAGAAGAAAGCATTTATGTTGTTCCAAAATAACGAAGCAACGCACAATCACCTGCTTTCCTCACTGCTGTAACAATTAACCAACCAAATTCTATAATTTCCTACTGTGCAGTGGTTGCAATACCTAAGAAGCTCTCAACATACAGAAAGAAGTAACAATGAAAGTATTTTTCAGGTACTTCAAACTAAAGATTAGTGCTTTAGAAGCCAATCACTCCAAAGAGTGATTGTATCTACCCATGTTGGCTAAGCCATGCAGCCTTGGTATTCGAAAGTTAAAGAAAATCAAGAGATCTTAAAACTCCATTGTAATATTTAAACGCATTTCCTCCTACTCTGCAGTGATATTTCAATTCCCCCCTCTCCCATTTCCAAGAGGTGATCCACCACCATACCGTTTCTAGAGCTTACCTTTTCTTATTTCACTTGTATTGGAAAGAGCCAGCCAGAGCACAAGAAGGCCGGCAGCTCTTAGCCCCATGGTGGCTAAGGTGGGTGAACTGCGAATACCACTGAAAGCATTTCTTTATATAATATCCACTGATGCAATTGATTCCATCACAGGGGAGGAGATACAAAGGGAGGAGGAAAGAGGAGGGGTAAAAAAAGTAGGTGTGCTATTTACAGAAGATAAGAAGTAAACAGATAGGTATTTTTCAGAACAAATGAAAAAATTTAATATAGAGGAAATGGTATAATATTGATTCAATGATCATGCAATGTTTTATTGCTTTATTCCTTTCTCCTGCAGGATGCTACGTTTTTAAATCCTTCTAACGCTTATGCCAAGCTTAACCTTCATCAACTCCTATGACAAACTGAATTCTGGAGTGACTGAAAAAGGAAATCCCTTGAATGAAGTTTAGAATGAGATACGCTAAAGCATGGCTTCAGAGGCAGAAGACTTTCATCTTTCACCATCATACTGAAAAATTTCTGTAAGTATTAAATGACTCTTGTAAAGCTCCTTGTAGACAACAAGTCTACATACAGTAATTGCTGTAAATAAAAGTTATGAGATGGTGCATTATAAAATTATTTTGCAGACAATTGTTGGATCCATTTATAAAGATCTAGGGAGTTCTTAATACAATATAAAGCCCATATTATGTCCAAAATGTAATCGTGCTGAGGTGTCAAGAAAAGTTCAAGGAATTCACATTACACGAGATGTTCTACGAAACAGTGCTGTGATGCATCAGAAAAAAACATCAGCAAGTGTTACAGAAGTTCTCACAATATGCTAAGCTATAGGAAAACCAAACACTCCGCATTTCACTCACTGCAAAAAAAGGGAAAAATTGGAAAACATTGCTGTTCATGCCAAATAAGAATTCAGGTTTATTTTCAGACAATTCATTCTTGCTTACCTTCTACATGAATGATAAATTTCCAGCCTACCGTTCCACATTAGATCACACAAACAGCTACAGGCTCAGCTTTGCTTTATACAGAGAAAGACGCAGAAGAAAGCAGAAAACAAAACCAGGTACCAGTTCAGAATCCTGCTTCAGAAATATATTTCATATGCACTGCATTTTGCTCTGAAAAATTCCTCAGAGGAGACGCTTCTGCAACTCTTTTCAGAAGGCTCCTTGAGGTACAGCATAATTATTTCAACAGATCTTTATTAATACAGTTGCTTTAGAGCACTAACAGCTTACATCGTACAGCTCTCAGGCCAGGCTCTATTTTCTCACCCAAAGTTTCTCACTGCAGTGTCATGATATCTCTAATCCTCTTCATTGTTCTGAGCATTCTTTACTCGCATAGCTCAAATTACAAGTAAACAGAACTTCTATATTTTATAAAACACAAGGAAACTTCACTTAGCCCTTTTGGTTCTGAAGTCAGCTATAAACACTCTTTTGTCATGAAGGCATAGTTTGATTTCTTTTTCTTTGCTATTTCTATCACAGCCTAGACTCACCCCTAACATCTTCCTGTTTTCTCTCAATACATCTCAAAAGCTCTTGGGCTTTCTACTTTTCCTATTTGAGGATACAGATTTGCCCACACGTTGGGTATCTTTCACTTGACAGTCCTAACTGCACTTTAGTATTTTCCCTTCTCTCCTGTGAGAGTCTATCACTAGTAGAATATATAATTAATTTTCCTTCATGGAAAATAAAAATAAATACAGTCACAGCCATTTAGAATTCAGAGAAAAAAGAAGTAACACCTCCTATAGAGACCTCTCCTTGATGGTTACTTTATCAGATCTTAATTCTCATGACACATTGGAGGCATCCCAGCTAGGAATTTTCTTTCTTTTACACCATCAAAACTGTCTGTTCAGAAATGTTTTGTAAAAATTCTTATGAGATATCTAAAGTTTTATTCTGTTTTTCTTTTCCTTCCTATGTTTTTTTTTTCCAGATACAGTCCTGTCCAGAATTACTACTGTCTCCAAAAAATTGGTCTCTATGACTAAATTCATACACAGTCTTCAGAAATTTTAACAGCAGTTGTTCCACAGATTCAGCAGATCTGACCCTTTTTCTGTTCAATTGGATATGCTCATAAGTACAAACTGAAAACTTCGCATTTCCTTTTCAGGTTTCTTTACCAAAAACCTTCCTCATTTGAAACAAACCTCATTCATTTCCTAGGACTGTGAAAGGTAATCATCTTTACCCTAAAGACGTACCGCCCCTCTATTCAATATGGTGATGTTTTACTCCTAAGCACAACTCAAAATGCCCTTTTTCAGTGGCTGTTATGGATAATTTTAACCCCTTGAAGAGCTACTCTTAGCCAACCAGTACTGGTATTAGTGCCTGGTTTTCTCTGCCCCAGCTCCATCCTGAGCATGATCCTATCTTGGGCTATACAGATAGAACAGCAACACTTCCCTTCTGAAGTCTTTTCAGCATGAATAAACTCTCACTGACACTCCTTCTGATACATAGGAAGCTTAGCTCACTATGACACCCCAACTTGGAGAATAAGAGAATTAAGCATGTTTTTGAGCATTCAGCCCATTCTTACAGAAACTTACTCAGGTCAGCATAGTTATGATTATCTGGAAGGGAGCATAGCTACTTATCATTACTATTCATAAGAATTCATACTCTCGCTAGCACTGGAAAGCATCCTGAACTGTAACTTTAGTTTCCTTATTGACAGAAAGGCAATGCTCCTGCCTAACAGCTGCTTTATATGCCTGTCAGAAACAATCAGTAGTTGAGGTACACAATCGTAGCTTGCTTTGTGTCATGCTCAGCCTTACAGCTTGTGGCTCTACGTATTTTAATCCACAATGATCTTACAGTTAATGGATACACATCCATATTTCATTGCCTGACAATCTAAAATAATCAAACCAGTTTGGAACAAAGATAACTCTGCATTATTGTTAGCATCTTTGCATAAAGCTTATGGGGATTCTCTGCTGCTAAACCAATATCAAAAGTCAAAGTTTGTTAAAAACACTGAATACTGCACAGCAATTGTGTCTGTTACATCAGTGGATGCAGAAGGACAGATGAAAAAAAAAACCTGTCTTTTGAGTAATGGTTGCATGAATGCATCAAGAGTCACTTAAACTTTTGTGACAGCATTTCTAATCATTCCATTAGCTGACTTAATGCTTATATTAATTAGAGTTGAAATTTATTTGCGATATACTTTTTGTTAAGAAGAGTACCCAGAAGACTGTGGTTCATTTTGATTCACTGCAGAAGACAATTACCTATATGGAAACCTTAAGGTACTTTATGTGAAAAAATTAAGCAAAGACCTAGTTAGGCTTATTGTTTTAGAAAGAACAAATTTCTTTTCATGAATTTTATGTCTTCTTGTATCTGTTAACCCACTAAGAGGAAGTCTTATTTCAGTCTTGTCACCACAATGCCAGAATGACCACTGTACAAATCCCTCAGAAATCAAAGGATCAGAGGTTGGCAGGGTTGGTCCATCTGGTCCAACTCCTGCTCAGTCACAGACACTTGGAGAAGGATGTCCAGGACTACATCCAGATGTCTTGATGTTCTCCAAGGAGGATACTGCATAGCCTCTGGGCATCCTGTGACAGCACCCCAGTACCTGCACAGCACAGAAGTGCTTCCTGATGATCAGAGGAGTGCCAGTTTGTGCCCACTGCCTCTTGTTCTGTAATGGCACCACTGAGCAGAGCCTGACTCCATTCTCTTTGCATCCTTCTTTCAGGTATTTATGGACATCAGTGAGACCCCCCTGAACTTCCTCCTAACTAAACACCCCCAGCTTTCTCAGCCTCTCTTCAGAGGAGAAGTGCTCACTATCTTGGCGGCCCTGCACTGAATTCTGTCCAGTATGTCCACATATGTCTTGTAATGGGGGAACAGAACAAGGCACAACACCTCAGGTGTCAAGGAAAAGGGAATGGATCACCTGAACTTCCAGTGATACTTTGCCTGATGCAGCCCAGAATACCATCGCCCTTCTCAGCAGCTAGAGCATATTGCTGGGGTTCTATTCATTACAATTATGGTCACTAAAGTCGTTGTCTTTCGTATTCCTGACTTGCTGCTCATCACAAGTCAAGTCAACAGGGCTGTCAAGACAAGAAGTTTTTCATCAGCAACGTTACTCTGCAGAAAGAGCTCCAGGATTTCATTCTGCAACTCGTCAGCATTTCACCTGATCACACAAAGCCTTCCACATGCCGCATAACATAAACTACACTCCATGTATGTCAAGCTCCAAACTCCCTGGCAGCCATCCTAAAACAGCTCTGGCAAAATACAGGCAGATTATGAGTAAAGAAATGTCTACAGTACACCTTTATGGAAAGAAAACAGAGACAGGCAGCAGAATGCTGAACAGAGGTCAAAGAATCTTAAAGTGATAAAGTACTAGGGATGCATTTCATTTTTATACATTTAATACATTTTCAGATAGATCAACCTCAAATCATCAATACAAAATGAGCATGCCTTTACAAGGAGGTATAACTGATACAAAATAACTGAAATTCACAAGCTCATGTTTTATACCTTCCTAGAAAATTAAAAACAAGTCACGAAAAAATGTGCCTGTAATCAACTTACTGCTCTCTCAGACATTCTAATGGGTACATCAGTAGCTGCTATTTTCACAAACAATTCTAATACACAGAATGCCCACATATGCAACTAACAATCTGATTCCTACGGTAAGAGTAAGAAAGATGTTACTAAAACCCACATAATTCTGATTATCTGATCTCATTCTCCTTCAGGGATATCACACAATAATTTTAATTTTATCCTAACATATTTGATGTCTGACTGGACTAATCTCAGCACTACCACTGATTTCTTCACTGGGAACTTGAGCAAGTCTTTTGAGTTCTTGCCATTCCTTTATATTCAGACAAATACAGTTGTATAAACTAGCTGGAGTATAATTTTTTAACATGACCTTCCTTTAATAGTTTTGCATAGAAATCACACCCACTTTCCACTTGTAAAGCTTCCTTCTTTTAATCAGCAAATCATCCTCTACTTTAGAGACCAAGATT